TCAGAAAAATGGCAGCAGGTGCTCTGGACTGATGAGTCAAAATTTAAAATATTTGGCTATAGCAGGAGGCAGTCTGTTTGCCAAAGTGCTGGAAAGCGGTACAATAATGAGTGTTTGCAGGCAACAGTGAAGCATGGTGGAGGTTCCTTGCAGGTTTGGGGCTGCATTTTTGCAAATGGAGTTGAAAATTTGGTCAGGACCAATGGTGTCCTCAATGCTGAGAAATACAGGCAGATACTTATCCATCATGCCATACCATCAGGGAGGGATGTGATTGGCCCCAAATTTATTCTGGAGCAGGACAATGACGACATACAGCCAATGTCATTAAGAACTTTCTTCAGCGTAAAGAAGAACAAGGAGTCCTGGAAGTGATGGTTTCGCCCCCACAGAGCCCTGATCTCAACATCATCGAGTCTGTCTGGGATTACACAAAGAGTCAGAAGGATTTGAGGCAGCCTACATCCACAGGAGATCTGTGGTTAGTTCTCCAAGATGTTTGGAACAACCTGCCTGCCGAGTTCCTTCAAAATCTGTGTGCAAATGTGCTTAGAAGAATTGATGCTGTTTTAAAGGCAAAGGGTGGTCCCACCAAATATTGATTTGGGTTTTTCTTGTTTGCTCACTTTGCATTTTGTAAATTGATTAACATAAACAATTACAATATATATTTTTGAAAGCATTCTTACTTTACAGCATTTTTTCATACCTGCCTAAAACTTTTGCACAGTACTGTACATATTTTGTACATATTTATAAGGCTGCCCATCTGACCATAGTGACTATGACCATCTAACAGCATATAAAAACCAAAAATAGTATCTTCAGCAATAAACATGTTTATCCCCAAATCCATTATATATATACCTAATTGGCCATTGCAGGAAATACCTGCAAGAATTAAAAAATCACAGCATTTCATGGGCTTATCAATAGCAAATGTGCAGCATTTTCATAACACTGTTCCTGCTACATAGGGTTTTTTGGGGGGAGGGGGGACCTGTTTTGCACTAGCTGCAGCTTCCGAGGCAAACTCAGTGATAGAAAGCTGTTATTTTCAGGGAGTATGATCCCTTCTCAAACTTCCTGAATACAACTTCTCAAACACAGAAATTAAGAGTGTATACCTGTCACAAAAGAGTTTGACTTGGAGTATTTTAATTATGTAAAAACTCTCAATAAAAACTCCCTGCAGTTTTCTTGGCAAGGTTTTTCAGAAGTGGTTTACCCTTGCCTCCTTCTAGGGCTGAAAAAGAATGATTGGCTCAAGCTGGCTTCATGTCTAAGGCAGGACTAGAACTCACAGTCCCCTGGTTTCTAGCCTGATGCCTTCACCACTACACCAAACTGGCTCTCTCCTATTCAACTTAGGATTCCAAATTTAACCATGATACTATCCTTAGATCCAGTCCAGTAGCAGACATAATATACTGTACTGAAATAGTTAATACTCACCTATGTCATTCCCATTTCCTTTTTGTTTTCTTTTCTTGGCAAGCTGAATAGCTCGATAATCTGTTCTTGCAGACCCACCACTCTCCTGATGAGATAAAAAGGTATGTTCACATCACTAAATCCAGGCAGACTGTTAGATATGCAGCTTTTTATTATGAATACTATTTTCCCCAAACAGCATGGCCTAATCCCTAATAGTTTCCCTGCTTATATTGAATTCTGTGTTGCATCCAACTGGTTAAGTCCACAGACAGAATGAATTCCCCTTCCTTTCGTAGAATACCAAAATCTGCTTGGTGATGTAAAACTCTCCAGAACAGACTATTTTTCAAAGGGGGCTGCAGAAAAAAGCAAAACACTCCATTGTGCAAGCTGTCTTTGCATACAGTCCTTTATCTATGTTAATCAGTGTGTATTTTAATAAGATAATAATACAATCAAAAGTGTATTTCAATAGCAAGAGGGAGAAAATGAGGACTAACAATGGCAACACTTTAAAAAATGTCTTAAAATCAAATTCTCTTCTTTTTCTACAAGCATGGAATATAGTATACTCTTTCCTCATTCAATCCCAAAACATTACCTAGAGTTTTAAATATCTACAACAGCTTGGGAAGGGAGTAACGAATAACACTAAGCTTTGGCTTCAAAGCTTCTGCTATGGAGAAGACTATCCTCTTTCACTTCATATGATGGACAACGTGTAACAGCACTGAATCACTTTCACAGGCAGAAACAATTTATGCCACTTACATTATACAAACATTCCATATACCTTTTTTGATCTGGTAGAGTGACTCACACATGACAATATCCTCAAAACTAAGATACTAATGAAAACTAGTTATTTAGAGTTATTTCTGTTTATTTACCAGAAAACAGCTGCCAGTCACCGTGCTCAGATCAGTTTCTTTCTGTGCACTGTAACTTCCTGAAGGATTG